ATGGCAGGCTATAGCCTTGAAATAATAATATAGCCTAAATAATTAGGCTTAGGCTACCTGGCTTGCTCCTGACTGATTTAGAGTTATTATGTTGTTTAATAGCCTGTTGAAATGTTAAACGTCAATTGATAGTGACAGAATCACACATTACTTACCAAGCATTATTTTGTCTCTGCGGCTATAGAAGGTTGTAGCGCAGCCTCTCGTCACGTCTTTCCCCGGCATTTTACAGCTTGTTTCTAGCATAAATAATTGCGGACTTTGGTGTCGTTATAGATCGCTGTATATAATAGGTCCATTACATTATAAAAAAAAAAACCTTAAGCTAACAAGGGGTAGGCCTATACTTTTAGCCATTTTCTTTAAGAAAAGCCACAATACCCTCACATACAGTGCCTTCAGATACCCATAGACTTCCAGACATTGCGCTAACGCTAGTTAGCATTGGCTCAAGAAACCTCTAACTTTCTTCATACTGGACAATGAGACATAAAAATGGTATCCACTAGTTCATCTGACTCTGGGGAAGTAGATAAAGGGCCTCATTGCCAAAATCCTGAAGTATCCCTTTAACACACCAAGCCCTTCACTGACACTAAGCTATTTAAGGTGTGCATAGTGACTGAAGGAATTGGCTGACAAAATCTATGGATAGTAGACTATAATTCTTTCTGTCAAACAGGTAGGTCTTCTAAAAATGTTGACCGGTAGTGTATATTTACCATGTCCTTGTTCAGCCATGACTCGGAGAAACATAGGATATTACAGTTCTTCAGATCACGTTGATCGCATAGTCTCGAACGGAACTCATCCAGTTTATTCTCCAGTGATTGCACGTTCGCCAATAGAATGGAGGGTAGAGAAAAGTTATGTTTTAAAAAAAGTATAATGTATACATGAATTCTGATTATTTCCAGGGAAACACAAACTCCTGAAATATATGTAGATGTCTTTGTTAGAACTAATACTATATTTCCCTTGACGGATTAATGCTGAATGTAAAAAAAGGCTCAACTTACCCCACTCTCCCCTACCCTTCATTCTGTGACATACAATTTTTGGACCAAACTGACTTTATGACCAAAATGATCCTATTTACACTTTGTAGTCAATTTTGACATTAGAATAAATGTTTCCGACTCATATCAATGCCACATAGGCCATTTTGAAAATGAGAAGAAGCTTTTTAGGGGCAGTCTCTCTTTAGTGGTGTGTCAAATAGCACCAACATGTGACCAAATAGCCATCATTAACAAGGCCAAAGAGAACTCAGTCTAACTTGCATTTGATTTTCTTCTCTGAACTCCATCATCCATTACAAAACTCTCACACACACATACACACACACACAATCCATCCAATCCAAACTCCTCTCCCAATGCAGGCTCCCTGGCAACCAGTTGCTATTAGATACTGCTCGGCCTGTCACCATGGCAGCAGATTCTCCCTCATTCTCTCTGCAGTGTTACAACACACACACACCACACCATTTAGCTGTGCTGTGGGGAGCATGTCATAAGTCCTTGAGGACTTCCCCAGTCCAGCACACACCTGTTGTGGACAGAATTCCAATGCAGAGAGAGAGCGAGATGAACAGGCAGATAAAGAACAGAGGGAGAAAGAGCCACAAGGATTCAACAGTATCACATTGTATCATATCAAACTGTATTGTATCATATTCATTCATATGAGATGCTGCGGATGTGCAGTTTGCTTACACTGAAATTAATTGCTAGAGAGGCAGAAGTGTTTGTGTCTGTCTGTGTGTGTTTGCTTTAGCGCTTTACTCTGATATATGAATCATTCCCTGGATCTGACACTGCAACATGCTTCACCTCAGCCCTAACTAAGGGTCATCATAACGGAACATATGATTCACAAACATGACTCAGTGTGAGAAGACCACACACACACACACACACACAGAGGAAAGGAGAAGAGAATAAAGGAAATATGGAGGGAGAAGAGGAGAGCATATGTGAATAGAGGAGAGGAGAATAGAGGAGAAAAATACGAGAGAGAACAGAGGTAGCAGTGCTTGTTTTCTCTCAAATAAAAGCAATGCTCTTTGATTGTTGCTATGACGACCTCTCCTCTTGATTATTTTTCATGGTGCTACCTCTCATCCCTCATCCCCACTGCCTTTCAGCCTGCAGGGTGAGCACGTGTGTGTATGTCTCTGTGACATACTTTTTGAATCTCTGTCACTCAGCTCCCATAATCTCCTTCTCTCGGCCCAACAGGAATGGTTACACTTCTCCTCAGAGTGCTTCCATCCCTCCATTCTTCCATCCATCATCATCCAGCCTTATATCCTCTCTCTGATGTCCATATTGTGTGTTGTTATGTGATTAGGTAAGGTAAAAGAGGTCAACACTAAACATGACATTCCATCCTGACTTGGGTTAGGTTTATAATAAAGATACATTTATATATCTTTATTTATAGATTTTCAGATCTATCACACAATAAACACACACATTCAAGCCTGAGTTTGAGCAGAAAATACTTGTGTTGAACTGTGTACATTAGGTGACTTGTCAGTGTTTGTTGGGAGAGAACAGAAACTTTTGTGCAATCCTTTTGTCTTTTCTCCTCAATTGTCACCAGTGACACAGGAATGGCTGAGGGCATAAACACATTGACACAAACACACAGATATACAGTCATTCTCTTTTACACACACACAGAAGGGAAAGGGAGGAGATGAGGGGGAGAGGTGGAACTGCTGGAGAGAGAGAAAGAGAAGATAGAATCTTCTGCTTTACCACACACACATGCGAGCACACACACACAGTGCATTGAAGCTCATACGATAGAAGAGATGCTGAAGTCTCTGAAAGCTTTTTGGGTTTTATAGTTCATTCTTTATGTGGCCAGAAGCTATGCTCCACTACACCGCTTTTTAAAAGCAAACCAGTGAGCTATTCCAAAATCTAGGACTACCTCTTCTCTTCAAATAGTATTTTAAATAATCCCACAGCACTCCCTTCTCATCTCCCCCCCCCCCCCCCCCCCCCCCCCCCCCACCAACTTTCTCTATGTATTTTTTTACTAGCTCTGACTTTGCTGATAGCTAATTTATTGAGGAAAAATGTACTTACTTTGACTGTGATATGTGGTTGTCCCACCTAGCTGGATAAGAGTGTCTGCTAAATGACTAAAATGTAAATGTAAAACTCACTGAGCCTGCAATTATGAGGCATTGGAGAAAGAGGATCTCAGATTAATTAATCTTTGTCTTTCCTGCTCAAGCGCGCAAGAGCGAGCGAGAGAGCGAGCACATACACACTGACAAAGATACAGAGGGGTTGGGGAGAGCAGAGGGAGTAGGCAGATTCATCCTGTAGAGATCTCTCCACAGCCTCAGAGAGAAGGAGGGATATTTTAAAATACAGAGGAAGACATACATATTTTTTTAAGGAGAGAGAGAGAGAGAAGTAATTATGATTTATGGAAGAGCTAGCCCTGGACACAGAGAAAAAGACGAGCTGACAGAATATTCCCAGAGAAAAACAACACAGTGAAAAGATCAAGGAGAGGGAAAGAGGCACAGAAGGAGAGAGAGGAAGAATCGAGAGATGCATGCAGTCAATGATACTCATCTGATGGTAAGGACTATTTCTATGTGAGCTGCAAATGTTTGGACATAATTGTGTGTGTGTGTGTTCGCTAGGACATGTCTGGGTTAGACACAGACAGACACACAAACACACAAACAGAGCAGTAGGGTGAGAAGAGTGGCATCTGCGGTGTGTCACAGTGTTGTCACCTCATCCGTGTGCTCAGACTGGCGTGTGTGTTTTTGTGTTTATGGTGGGTGTGTTTTCGTGTTTGTGGTGTGTGTGTTTTTGTGGTGTGTGTGTTTTTGTGTTTGTGGTGTGTGTTTTTGTGTTTGTGGTGTGTGTTTTTGTGTTTGTGGTGTGTGTGTTTTTGTGTTTGTGGTGTGTGTGTTTTGGTGTGTGTTTTTGTGTTTGTGGTGTGTGTGTTTTTGTGTTTGTGGTGTGTGTGCGTGTGTGTGGGTTTGCGTGGCAGCAGGGTGATGCATCTCTCTTTTTATTGATCAGCATCCAGCACCCTCTCGTTCCCTCACTGCCTTCCTCTTCCTCTTCCTCTCCTCTATCACCCATCATTCCCTTTTCTTCGCTCTCACTCTCTTTTCTCTCCCATTCCTCCATGTCTCTATCTGTCAGTACACAGAGCTTAGTTCCACTACATTCCTCCTACTGCCGTCTCAGCTACAGCAAGACAACCTCTCCTTTCTATTCCCTTTTCCCCACCAATTGATATGTCCCTCCACCTTTCCTCTTCTCCCCTTTTCTCTCCACTGTGTGTGTGTGTGTGTGTGTAGGTGTGTGTGTGAGAGAGAGCGAGCGAGCGAGCGAGAGAGCGAGCGAGAGAGTGTTATTTCAAACTTCCTCTGTTGTCATTACTGGTAAACACTGCCACCAGGTGGTGACTGGTGGTCATCAGTACACACACAAACACTTTTTAATTAATTGAATACACAATGAGAGTAAAGAAGAAAAGAGGGAGATCAAAATGATATCAAATGAAATTGAATCCATTACTGATCAGGGATGCAGATGAAAAGAGGAAGGAAATGGTTGATGGAGAGTTGAAAACACAGTAGGTATTCTCCTTTTATATCCCTCTCCCTCACACTGGCTTTCTAAATGTGTTATAAACCTGACCTTGACCCATAATCTCCTTTGTCTCTTTCTCTCCCTCTCTCTCTCTCTGCCAGGTAATCTCCTAAGTGTGTACAGAGCTACGCCCAATACACATGTCGCCATAATGTGACAGCGACTGTCTGACCACGGAGACCGTCACCTAGACAATCCAAGAACACTATAGATTCCTACAGCACTGTAACCTGGCAACAGTAGATTCCTACAGCGCTGTAACTTTGCAACAACACTGAGTCACCATTGAACTGCCTCAGCTGAATCGACTCCCATAGATCGACTCCTCTGAATCAACTCCTCTCTGCTGTGAGGATGCTGAGGGTGTCAATGGTCCTACCGAAGAGGCAGCTAATCCTGTGGGTGTGGGTGTCCAGTGCTCTAGTAGTCTATTCCCTACCATGGCGGGTCTCCTGCCCGGCAGGGTGTGTGTGTCAGATCAAGCCCTGGTTCTCCCCCCAGTCAGTGTCCTGCGAGGCTTCTGCTGTGGACTGTAACAACCTGTTCCTAACCCAGCTTCCCTCCCCTCTGCCCCCAGACACACACACCCTCCGTCTGCAGAGTAACCTGCTGTCTTCCCTGGAGACACCACTCTTACACACACTCCTCAACCTCACTGAGCTGGATCTGTCTCAGAACCGCTTCAGCAGTGTTAGAACCCTAACCTTAACCCAGCCCCAGACTGCCTCCCTGCCTTCCCTACTCTCCTTGCACCTGGAGGAGAACCAGCTCTGGTTCCTGCCCCCTGCCTCCTTCTCCTCCCTGCCTGCCCTACAGGAGCTCTTCCTCAGCCACAACCGGCTGACCTACCTGGCTCCTGGAGCATTCTCTGGCCTGGGCTTCCTGCTGCGCCTGCATCTCAACAGCAACCACCTGACCTCAATTGAACCCCGCTGGTTCACTGCCCTGCCCCGTCTCCAGGTGCTGATGCTGGGGGGAAATCCAGTGGAGGTCCTCCCTGACCGAGGCTTCCAGGCCCTGGGGTCTCTACGCAGCCTGGTGCTGGGGGGCATGGGGCTGAAAGGGCTGCCTGAGAGGGCCCTGGAGGGGCTGGACAGTCTGGAGAGCCTGTCCTTCTACGACAACCTCCTCACCATCGTCCCCACACAGGCTCTGAGGAGGCTCCCGGTCCTGAAGTTCCTGGACCTGAACAAGAACCCTTTGAGTGTGATTCAAACGGGGGACTTCAGGGACCTGGTGCACCTGACAGAGCTGGGTCTGAACAACATGGAGGATCTGGTGGCCATCGAGAGAGCAGCCATGGAGAACCTGCCTGAGCTCACCAAGCTGGAGATCACCAACAACCCCCGGCTGTCCTACATCCACCCCCAGGCCTTCCTTCGGCTGGGCAGGCTAGAAAGCCTGATGCTCAACTCCAATGCTCTGAGTGCTCTGCACCAACACACTGTCCTGTCTCTGCCCAGCCTGAGGGAGGTCAGCCTGTACTCCAACCCCCTCCGCTGTGACTGCCTGTTCCGCTGGGTGGCTGAGGAGCACACACACACAGATACACAGATGCCGCAGGCTGTGAGGTTTATCCAGCCCCAGGCCACGTTGTGCTCTGAGCCTCTAGAGCTGAGGGCTCGCAGGGTGAGGGAGGTGTCAATAACAGAGATGTCAGCCTCCTGCCTACCCCTCATCCCCCCTGGCATCCTTCCCTCCTATATGGGGGTGAGAGAGGGGGAGAGGCTGGCTCTGCACTGTCGCGCCCTGGCAGAGCCTCAGCCCACAATCTATTGGGTCACTCCTTCTGGAATGAGACTAGGACCATCCAACCACACCCACAGCTCCAAGCCTGCATCCAGCCCCAGCTCCAAGCCTGCATCCAGCACCAGCTCCAAGCCTGCATCCAGCCCCAGCTCCAAGCCTGCATCCAGCACCAGCTCCAAGCCTGCATCCAGCACCAGCTCCAAGCCTGCATCCAGCCCCAGCTCCAAGCCTGCATCCAGCACCAGCTCCAAGCCTGCATCCAGCCCCAGCTCCAAGCCTGCATCCAGCACCAGCTCCAAGCCTGCATCCAGCCCCAGCTCCAAGCCTGCATCCAGCACCAGCTCCAAGCCTGCATCCAGCCCCAGCTCCAAGCCTGCATCCAGCACCAGCTCCAAGCCTGCATCCAGCCCCAGCTCCAAGCCTGCATCCAGCACCAGCTCCAAGCCTGCATCCAGCCCCAGTTCCAAGCCTGCATCCAGCACCAGCTCCAAGCCTGCATCCAGCCCCAGCTCCAAGCCTGCATCCAGCCCCAGCTCCAAGCCTGCATCCAGCACCAGCTCCAAGCCTGCATCCAGCCCCAGCTCCAAGCCTGCATCCAGCCAGACATCCTCTTACCATTCCCCCTCACCCAGCCCAGCATCTGGTAATGCCTCTGTCCTCTTGTACAGCCTCACCCCTTCCTCTCCCTCCTCCCCTGCCTACCGGCTACTGCCAGAGGGGACATTGGAGATTGTCATGGTGACGGCCCGGGAGGCGGGTCTGTACACCTGTGTGGCTGAGAATACACTGGGGGCCGACACTCACAGTGTGACTGTAGGGGTGCAGGGACGAGGGAGGGGGGGTTGAGGCACCGGATGTTGGAGTGGAGAGGATAGGGGTTGAAGGAGAGGGTTTTGAGGGAGGTCAGGGCAAAGGTAAAGACAGCAAGCAAGCACACACAAATAAAGTCTAGCTATATAAATAATTTATGATATAAAACACATAATAAAACACACACACACACACGTACTTGCAGTCCAACGTTTCCGAAGATAACGTGTTATAGGATAGATATAGCTACCGCTCCTGGCCGCGGTGCCATTGTAGGTGGTTGTGGAGCCCGATCCGGGAGCCACATGTCCTGCCGCAGCTGGGACATGTTAGTGCTGAATCTAGAGCTGCTTGTGGGAGTGGTTGAGAGCATTGGGGCCTGTAAATAGAACATATGAGAGGGCAGTGGTGTACAATCAGATGTCTATTTATTTTACAGTATATATGCATACACATTGACATTGTTTGTGTTTGTATAAAGCAGTACTTAACATAGAGAAAATAACTGACCCTGCTTTCTATCCCCAGAACCTATCCACCTAACCCTAACCCAGCGACTGAACTTCAAGAGAGGAGTCTCACCCTCTTCAGATACACTAGGGCACAGGCATTTTCTAAACAGTGCCATTTTATGGTAGCCTATCCTTGCTTTCTTTTGAGGTTTTGTAAATCAAAGTGCTTAATGTGAGCAGCCCTTTCTCACTCTGCCCCTTCCCTTGGCTTTCTATCACATTACTTTATTATTCTATCCAACTGCCTGTACATAACATGAACTGGTTTTCCTATCCAGTGTACCGCTTCTCTTTCAAAGATGATTTAGATGTATTAAATTCTATTTTGAACTATTATTAAAACATTTTGGACTGATATGTTGATGGTTTGTTTTCCTGTCTATTCACTAATTCCCTTATCGCTGGAGGCATGTGAGGAGGCAGATGAGTGCAATAAATAATTCACTCTCCAAACTGGTAACAGTTGACTACATTGAATTGACAACAATCTTTCTATCCATCTTTCTACGACAACTTAAATTCATATTCAATTACATTTATAACCTATACATTTCTACTGGCCATGGTTTGTATTAGTAATATTTGCGGGGTTATTAAATACGATCTCAGATCATAACACCCTACATAATTAGTATGCTGTGCAGAAGAGCCATAGTGTTTTTGCTGAAAAAGAGCACAAAATACAACTGAAAGGCTCAGAAGTGTATTACTTCTCATTGAACACAGACACAACTTAACAGAGTTGATTGCAGGAACTCAGGTGTTAGCATCTCAACTGGTCTTTGTAGACAAGGCTCAGGAACAGCTTGACTTCTTTATCTCTTTATTCCTCACACACAGAGCGCCTTTTACCAAGACAAGGAACTTTGCTCTTACTCAAGGCATTGATTAATTATTTTCTGAACCTATTTTGTTTTAGGCCAGGAAACATAATGTGCCAGAGCTTTTTACATCATTACAGTATAATCAATGAAGTATATTCTAGTGTGACAGAAAATAACAAGTAATGTAAACTGGATGCTCCATCTCATATGTGCCCTCCTAAACCAGTCCTGGTTCTACTTTCTGGGCCCTTCACATAGTACTACCATTGTTTGCCAGGACCTTGTACTTGATGAGGTAGTAGGGGTAGCACTGACTGCTGTCAAACACAACAAAAACATTAGGATTCTCCATCCGATTCACATAGGAGTCATAGTGATCCCGTCCTGAGCTCGTTTGGTTGGGGAGTCGAGGGGGGACGGACGTAGTCCATCCTTCCTAATCAGGTTTTACCCACAAGCACCTTAGCCAGGAACATGAACCCAGTGTCTCGGCCTCCCTTTGGCCCTCTGACGGAGTAGCGATGAGCTTGCTGGGCAAAATGGCAAAGTAAACGCTACGGCTGTGACACCTAGTGGGTCAAGCCACACGCGGGTCGAAGTTCTGTCGGGAGATATCCTGGACCTGCTGCAGGCTGATGATCTGGGCCTGGCTCTCTGACATGGTTCTGTAGAACAGGTCATGGACCGTCCTGTAAACCAGCGTCCAAGGGGGAACCTCCAGCATGGAGAAGGTGTTCCCTGGGCTCAGGGTCTAGACTGGGGGGTACTGGAGGCTGAACACACCCACATCTGGGAGTGTCCTAGGAGATCACATTCACATTAATTAATGTCCTTATTAGTAATACTGTATATACTAATACATTTTCACATCGTGAGGTAATTAAAGTAAAAGACAGTATGAACAACATCCACAGTGAAATGTGGTATTAACTACTGTAAACTTTACATCAACAACGTTTTTAACAGAACAATTCTATATCACAAATGCAATAGTGTATTTTGAATTGGTTTGATTTGGTGAATGCCCATGTGTATAACCATATCCATGACTCTGTGGAAGATAACGTGCAGTGGCGGTTTTACACGGAGGCCGGGGGAGGCCCGTGCCTCCCTGGAAATGTCCCTGGCCACCCCTGTGGCCCCCCCGTGCTGACCAAATAAAAAATTATGAATTTATAACTATTTTACACGCGAGCGCCAAAAGCGGAACTAATGCAACGCTCTACACGGCAACGTTCTACACGGGTAAATTAGAGTGGCGCACCCAAAAACTGTATCCTGCCATCTGCCTGCCTGCCACGTGTGGTGCTGCTTCGGTGAATGAGAGCTCAGCAACTACTATTTGCGAGAGGAGCTACGATTTGCAGGAGTCGAAGGTAAGAAAAAACGATTTAATATCATAAGTGACTTGTTGTTCTTGCACATAGCCTACATGTTCCTTTTGTTCCTCACACATAAATCAAATCAAGTTTTTAAATGTCTGGTCTCGATTTGTTTAGAAATGTAATCATATCTAAGCAAACTCATCGAAGCAGAAGCAAATATCCAAATGTTAGTAGGCTATCCTTGCTAGGTCTACACAATGTTGTGATGTTAACCACGTAACTTCATCCGTCTTGGCTGTTGCATCGCGATAACAAATACATTTTTAGTAAAGTAATCAACAGGTTATCTGCCAGTGTTAAGTAGGGAGGGATGGTTAGGTAACAAAATGTAATGCATGCCCCTACGTTTTTTCTTCTTCTAATAGTTATCATGAAACGAGGAAGGGACATAAAGTCATTTTTTGCCCCAGCAAACAAAAAAGTGAGAGAAACAAATCGAGGTTTTGAGAAAGTTGAGGAAGAGGGAGAGCCAGCATGTGATGAAAGTGAGGGGTCTGACAAAGAGAGGGAAATTCCAGAGGGTGAGGAGGATGAAGAAGAGGGTGAGGAGGATGAAGAAGAGGGTGAGGAGAATGAAGAAGAGGGCGAGGAGAATGAAGAAGAGGGTGAGAAGCATGAAGAAGAAAGCATACAGGGACAGAGAGATGAACAGCCAGAGGGACAGCAAGTGGATCCATGTGGATCAAGTACTGCACCATCAGGTTTGTGATGAGGAAGGTTCTTACTATTTGCAAAGCAATGCAATTACAATGTAATGGTAGGCCTGCTGGGTGTCCTTAAAATGCTGCTTTCTGCTGTTAATTCTTTTTTGTGTCAATATGGCTCTGTTTTTTTTTTAAGTAAATACTTTGCCTACATTTTGAAATACATGCAGATATACAGTAAATAAATGTTGTAGTTGTGCCCTATGTTTACTGTCCATCTTCTTCAGATATCAGCAAGTCTAAGTATGACGTACCAGTACAGCCGAACTTGAAGATATTCCCAACCACACTGATGGGGGACAGAAGACGAAGCTTCAGACCAAACTGGTACACTACTCATCCATGGCTTGAGTATTCTGTAATGACGGACTCTACATGTTGCTATGCATGTAGACATTTTAGCACACCAAATGCCCCAGACACCGTTTTTGTTTCAACACCTGGTTTTACAAACTGGAAAAAGGCAACTATGAGAAATGCAGGGTTTTCACTACATGCAAAGTCTGAACGACACAAGTGTGCAATGATCGCATGGAGGGATTATCAAAGAGCTGTTAGAACTGACGCAACACTAACAGATCTCCTTGACAAAGAACACACTAAACAAGTACAAGAAAATCAGGCATACATTAAAACAGTTGGGGAAGTGCTGTTGCTTACAGCTACACAAAACATAGCACAAAGAGGACATGATGAATCTGAAGGGTCCACTAACAAAGGAAACTTTAGGGAAATTCTTAACACAGTTGCTAACCACGACCAACTTGTTAAGAGAAGATTAACTTCCATTCACAATGCAAAGTACACAAGCAAGATCATCCAGAATGAGGTTTTGGGTTGTTTGGCAGAAATGGTTCGGTCTGAAATCATAGAAGAAGTGAAGAAAAGTGAGGTTTTTAGCGTCATGGCAGATGAAACAAAGGATATTTCAAAAAAAGAACAGATGTCATTCACACTCAGGTACTATTACAATGGGGCCATTAAGGAGAGTTTTCTCCATTTTGAATCTGCAGAGAGGTTAGATGCAGCAGGGCTTACTGGAAAAATAGTACACTTACTGGAACGTTATGGCCTGGACTACAAAAATAACCTCGTAGGCCAAGCGTACGATGGCGCTGCCGTTATGAGCGGTAAGCATTCAGGGGTTCAGGCAAGGATCAAAGAACAGGCTAAATTTGCCTTCTACGTCCATTGTAGTGCTCATTGTCTGAATTTAGTGTTAGTTGATGTAGTCAAAAGTGTCCCAGAAACGGAGGAGTTTTTTTCTTTGTTACAGAGTCTTTATATGTTTACTTCTTCCTCATATGTGCACCCAAAATGGCTGTCTCTCCAAAGAGAAATGTATGGCAGAACCAGAGAGCTGCAACGTTTAAGCGACACACGTTGGTCATGCCGATTTCTAGCCCTACGTAATATCATGGACACTCTACCTGCCCTTAAACGACTACTGCAAGAGATTGCTCAAGAACGTCATGGTGAAAGAACTGTTGAGGCCCGAGGTCTTCTTGCTCAAATTGACCTAGAATTTGTTGTGCATCTTGTTACTCTGCGTAAGTTGTTTGGGGAGACAAAGCTATTGTCTGACATGTTACAGTCACAAACTGTTGATCTGTCAAGTGCTGTTGACTTAGTAAATGCTTTAGTCCTGACATTGAAAGACCACAGGCAGGAGTCTTTCTTTGATGAGTTGTGGGATGAAGCATTGAATATTTGTGAGCAGTGTGATTCTGCAACAAGGTCAGTGGCGAAACGTCAGAAAATGCTGAGCTCTAGACTCAGTGGCTACTGCACGCTAAGCACTGTTGGTCAGAGGGAGGTAGAACGTGACAAAGATATGTTTCTCACATCATTTTTCTATCCTGTAATTGACAGCATGCTCAATGAGTTGAACAGACGTTTCTCCAATACAAACTGTGAGCTCATGAGAAGCATACAGTCTCTCAGTCCCCAGAGTGATACCTTTTTAAAGGAGAGCAATGTTTTTTTCATTTGGCCGTTTGTATAATGCAGACATTGATGATTTAGGGCATGAGCTCCATCAATTTAAGAGAGTTTTGGACAGAAAAATACAGAGTGGTGAAGTCAAAAAGCCATGCAGTACAGTTGAGCTGGTTTGTTTTATTGAGCCATACAGGGAAGTTTTCTTTGAGCTCTTTAGACTGTGCAAGATTGCTGTAACCCTTCCTGTAAGCTCAGCCTCTTGCGAACGCAGTTTCTCCACACTGAAACTGATAAAAAACCTTCCTGCAGTCCACCACTAGTGATGAGAGACTCAGTGATCTTGGTGTCCTGAGCATAGAGTCCAGAAGGGCCAAGGCTCTGGATCTTGATGTATTTGTGGACCGTTTTGCCAGACAGCACAACCGCCGTATCCTGTTGCTGTAGTGTATCTATATGATATATACGCTAGTAGCGTATGAGTGCCGCTGTGAGGAAAAAGAGATATAATGAACAATAAAACAACAAGCTTGAGCTTCTTAAGACACGGTGGGTTTATCTGTTCTCAATACCACCGGTAAATGAATGGAGTTAGTCTGGTGTCCACATGAAGTTACGTGTGTAGACAAAGAGTCTGGTGTCCATATGAAGTTACATGTGTAGACAGAGACAGTCTGGTGTCCATATGAAGTTACATGTGTAGACAGAGACAGTCTGGTGCCCATATGAAGTTAAATGTGTAAACAAAGACAGTCTGGTGTCCATATGAAGTTACATGTGTAGACAGAGACAGTCTGGTGCCCATATGAAGTTAAATGTGTAAACAAAGACAGTCTGGTGTCCATATGAAGTTACATGTGTAGACAGAGACAGTCTGGTGCCCATATGAAGTTACATGTGTAGACAAAGAGTCTGGTGTCCATATGAAGTTACATGTGTAAACAGAGACGGTCTGGGGTCCATATGAAGTTAGATGTGTAGACAAAGACAGTCTGGTGTCCACATGAAGTTACATGTGTCTACTTAGATGAACCCACCGTGTCTTAAGAAGCTGAAGCTTGTTTTATTTTTCATTTTACATCATCTATCTTTTTTTCCTCACAGTACCAGTAGTTCCACACACTACTAGAGTGTATGTATGTTTGTATGTATGTATATATATCCCACCAATCCTCTCTCAAGAGGTTTTCAAAAAGGGGCAAACTCATGTCTCAAGACCTGCTTCTGTTGGTTCCCCTCTCCTGCCTGTAACTTTCCATCCACATCCCCAAAGTTTTGTGGCCCATTATGACATCACTCCATTAAGTGATTGCTGCATGTACTGCTCTAAGGAAACACTTCTCTCTCTCTCTCTCTCTCTCTCTCTCTCTCTCTCTCGATAGATAGATAGATAGATAGAGTTTATGATTTTATTCTTTCGAATTATCTCTGCCAAACATCTATGTACTACAAATCTTCAAGCTCCACAGATGTTTTATGGCATCCACTAAACCTCTTTAGATATTTGTAAATTATACAGTGTGATACCTTTCAACGAAAGTTTATTTTATTTTTTACCAACTATGATTTTTCCTTTTGAAAACAAGCAAAGCAAGAAAAAAAAGAAACACAATCACTACAATCATTGCACACTTGTGTCGTTCAGACTTTGCAGGTCCAGCTTTGACATGATGATCTAACTAACACTAATATTGTAACTAATATTGTAACTGAAATATGTATGA